TTCAACTGCCCGCCCCCCCCGGCCGCTCCTCTCGGAGGCATCTTCCCCCTGAGCTTCTTGAGCTCTTGCCTTCCCCGTCTTGAACACCGGCCCCCTGGGAGGCTTCCCTCTAAGCCTTTTTGTTTGCAGAAAAAGGCTTTTCCCTCAAGTTTCTGAAAACAGGCTGAGCTGTGCTAAGCACCAGACTGGTGTAGGGGTTACTACACTGGGTGGAGACTGGGGGGAAATGGGGTTCCCATCGCCCCTGGCCAGGAAACTTTCTGGGGGGCCTTGGGCTGCTTGCTCTTCTTAGGACTATCAAAGCTACCTGTCGAAAGGAAGAACCGTGAATGCTGTCTTGAGCACCGTGAACAAGAGAGAAGGAGATCCTATAGCAAGAACATCCCTGAGCCATGAAATTAAAAGTACACCACAAAAAAGACTGAGCAGTTCAACTCTGGTGGAGCACAATTCTACCCGGAAACCAGACCCTCCTCCTGCTAGGAAGCATGAGGAACGGGTTCACTAGGATTTGGGTGGCAGCCTTGGAAAATGAGGGTGGGGAGGGAAGGGCACACGGAAGCCATGGCCAGCTGCTCAGGCCACAAGTTGAGAATGCCATAATTCTGCCCAGCTAGAAGAACTGAACGTATAAATCTCTATCATGCCCTTAATTCAGAGCACAAGAGCCTGCATTTATTTTTTGCACCAGGGGTCCCCAGTAAGTTTGTCCCAGCAGGGGCACCTAGAGTTTCAAAGTCCCACCTAGAAGGTGTTGCAGGCACCCTCACAACATGGCTGTCATGGGAAGTGTGGCCCATTTCCAAGAAGGGTGGGACTGTCACAAGGCATACGGAAGCTCTTTCAAGAGCCAAGGCCTAATGATGCCAGGAAGGGCACAGGAGTAAAAAAGCAGGAAATATCTTCGGTCTTCTACAGTTTGCCACAACATGGCAAACAGGAGATTTTAAAAAACCAACCTACCTTTTTCCGTGGCCCATTGGTATGGATGTACACCAGCTTGTCTCTGGCGTGAGAGATTCCAAGGGCTCTTCCGATAACACTGTTGAGCAGATTTTTAGGCTGGGGAAATTCCTTCAACAAATCCCTTGAATCTGAAAGGAAAAAAAGGCGAAGAAATTCAGCCAGGAAATTACACTGGTATTTCACAGCACAGAACATGCAATTCATTTAGCATCTGTGTGAGCTCAGCCTTGCCCTAAATTAGCAGAGAGCACACCACCCAAAACCTAACTGGCTTCCCCATAACTTGTAGCACAAGTAAACAGGCTCCCTCTCATGATTTCTACATCTAACTGCTCCGTGAGCAGACAATAAGAAAAAAAAACACACCCTGGTCATATAGCAACATAATGAACTTTCAACACATGAAGGCATGTAGCATCGCTCAGTATTTTGCTTTGGAAAATTCCAGTTAAATTCATCCCACACCTGTGCTTGCTTAGCTCAGAGGTCTGAGCTGGGCCTCTAACAACTTAAAGGTTTTCATAGAACAGTTCAAGGGAAATCCGTTCCAGGTTACAGAGACTCGCCTCCCAGAAACACACTCTCTTTCTTAATTACTGTGGCAACAACTAGACCCACAAATCACGAAGAAGGGGAAGTGAAAGTAACTCACCTACTTGCATTGTCCTATCTAAGAGGAAAGCAAAAAAGGAAAAGATCCACAGTATAAAAAACAATGGGATAAATAGCTAGGGTGATCTGCAATCCCAACCCCACCACTCACACAAAAACCACATATGAGAACACAAGGAGTAGCTGAGGCATTCTCCTGTCATGTCACCAGCAATAACCTCCTACACTGGTCCTCGAGACATTCTCCAACAGAAAATACATCCGGCAACATTTCTGCACAGAGCAGTAGCTGATTAAAATGGGAAGACGCTAAAGCTTTGCTGATCATGAACCATGTCTTTAGATGCATGGAGTGCAGCCTCACACAATTAGCCCAACAGGGAGGGAGGGAGAGACAGAGAGAGACAGAGAGAGGGAGGAGTACAAAAGGGGAATGGAAATTAAAAATAGGTCCTCAAGGACACTCAGCTGCCCCTGGGATGGCTTAATGGTGGTCCTTAAGTGGTGCTGACAGATCCCCTTTGAATATCGGGTAGTATATATCAGGATATACAGAAAAACAGATTAACACTTGTGTAGCCGTTAGCTGCACACGCTTTCATGGACTGCAGCCCACTTCCAGAGAGTGAGAAAATACGCCCATACAGCTTTATCTAGAAAAGCATATGCAAATTGCTGACTGGAGCTGCCAGGGATCACATAACTTTCCCTGTTACAGCTGCTCCACTGGCTGCTATCAGTTACTGGGCACAATTCAAAGCACTGATTTTAAATCCTGAATGGCTTGGGTCCAAGCTATCTTAAAGACTGTAATTCCCCATTATGAGCCGGCTCAGGGGTTCAGATCATCAGGAGAGGCCTTTCCTCTGTTGGGTTCAGATCATCAGGAGAGGCCTTTCTCTGTCGTGCCACCTTCACAGGGACACAGGAGAGAAGGGCCTTCTCTGTGGCTGTTCCCAGACTGGAACTCCCTCCCACTTAAGAGGCCAGGCTGGCCCGATCTTGGCTGTCCTTCTGCAAGCAGACAAAGACCTTTCTCGTCAGGCAAGCCTTCCCTCAGTAACCAGCTACCTGTGTGCGATTTTTAGATACACTGCTATGCATTACTGCTTTGACTGGATTTTTAGTACTACAGTAATTGTATTTTCCATTTTTGTGTTTTCCATTCCTCAAAGCGGCATACTCTGGGAAGATGACTCAAGCTTGTAGCCAAGCTGACCATTCAAGCAATGTGGCAGGACGGCTGGCTTGCATCCTCACCTGGCGCTCTGAGATAGACGGCATCTTTTACTGAAGCCCAAGTAGACTCAGACCTACAACCCCACTGGAATAAGTTCTGGTGTAGCTTACTTTAGAAGAGTTTCAGACTACTATTATTTGTGGTGGTCTTCTTTTGAAAGAAAGACATGATCCTCCCTTTTGAGCACATTGTGCTCAAAAAAAGCTGAAGAAACAAACACTTACATTTTGAAGCACAGTGCCTACGACAGGGTCAAGCTGGGCAGGAAGACTGGGATGTTTTGAGAGAAAAGCCACCACCCCCACCTTCCTCCCCATGAGCACCGCTACCATTCTTGAAGAAGCTGCTCATAAAGTAGATTGTGGAAGACAATATTCTGAACTGAGTGAACTTTTGTATATAATTATCAAAGGGGACATGTTTTGAGGTGTAAACTGCACAGAGAGCTCTGTACTTCACAACATAAGCTGTCATGTGAACACCAAAAAACCTAGCTATTTTGACAGCATCCAGCAGTGGAAGAAAAAGGTCCAGCACAAACAGGTGACGAAAAAAAATCTACTAAGGAGTATCTTACATTTCTTTTTTGTTTTCTGGCTGATAAAAATCCATTCTACTAAACCGTCAGGGAGCTGCCCCTCACCAGCTGTGGAGTCTTTCCTTAAATACCATCCTTCGGCAGCAGGAAGGTGCTGACAAAAAAACATTTCTTAACCTGGAAAGTCAGGTCAATGGCACGGGTGCAAAAAGCGCCTTGGAGAGTCAGTCCAGAGGCTTCGGAAGTGAAAACCGGGCAGACTACGAGGAGGTTTGATGGCTTGGCTTGTGGTCTTGACTAGAGGTTTCCACGAGTCACGGCTAGAGCAGGATTTGCCGCTTTTGGGGTTGAAAAGTACCCTGGAAGAGGGGAAGGCGCTCCCTTCCGGGCCTGGCCCGGCCAGACAGCCGCCCTCACCAACAGAACCCGCCAAGCGATCTACATGCGTGACCTTGGGGGGGGGGACACGACACACCTCTCCCCTCTCCTCCGCCCCACGGTCTCAGCCCGCAGGGAACGGGGGAGCCAAGGGGACGGGAGCCCCCCTCCCCGCCCGTGATTGGAAATGCGACCTTTCCCCCGTGCGAAGGCCCAGACTCCCCGCGGATGGGGGAGTGTGGGCCTTGTAGTCACGCTGCCTTCTTCCCGGACGGAGGGAGCGCCTCACCCGTGCCGAAGGGAGCCCCGCGGAGCCCTTGGGCCGC